ACTTTTAGAAACCCAAGTCAGTCATGGATGATTTCAGAGGCAGAACCATGGCTGATTTTTAAATGGTTTGCCATGTAATCTACAGTCATTCATCTATTTGACAGAATCATTTCACAAGCACACTCAGTGTTGTCACAGCTGTAGATGTGGATGGGTGTTTTAATATAACTGGAGTGCAGATAATTTTTGACTCACCCTGGGTAATAGTGATAGAAATGTTGTTGGAGATCACATGATAGCATTTTGCAAGACCAATTATTTATTCATTGCAAATAACTATTTTGAACAACATAAAAGATGACTATACAGTTAGACCTCACCAGCTGGAATACACAGGAATACAAATTGACTGCATTTGTGGAAAAGCTCCATATTATCAGCTAAAACAAGGCTAGGAGCAGACTGTGGGACAGACCATCAATTGCTCATATGTAAGTTCAGGCTGAAGCTGAAGAAAACTCAAAGCCATGAAAGTTAAAATATGACCTTGAACATATCCTACCTGAATTTAGAGACCATCTCAAGAACATATGTGATGCATTAGACACTAATGATAAAAGACCAGAAGAGTTGTGGGATGACATCAAGAACCTCATACAGGAAGAAAGCAAAAGGTCAACATGGATATCTTCCTCATACAGGAAAAAAGAAAGATCAACATGGATATCAGACGAGACCCTGAAATGGACTCTCCAGCACAGAGATGCTAAAACAGATGGAAGAAATGAGGAAGTAAAAGAACTGAATAGAAAATTTCATAGGGCAGGTCAAAAAGACAAAGTAAAGTATTACAATGAAATGTGCAAAAACTTGGAGTTGGTAAAACAAAAGGGAAGAGCATGCTTAACATTTCTCTAGTTGAAAGAACTGAAGAAAAAATTCTAAGCTGAACTTGAAATATTGACGGATTCTCCCGGTGTGGTGCTGTAGGATAAAACACTGGAGCACAAGGTTGTTTTGAAACACAGGTTAGTGGTTCAAACTCACCAGACGCTCTTTGGAAACCCCATGCTGGGTCGTTATGAGTTGGAACTGACTCAATGGCACTTAACAACAATAACAATGGGCAAAATATTGAATGATCCGAAAGTATCAAAACAAGATGGAAACGATACACAGAGTCACTGTATCAAAAAAGAAATGGTTGATGTTCAACCATTTCAAGAAGTAGCAGAACCGATGGTACTGAAGGAAGAAGTCCAAGCTACACTGAAGGCATTGGTGAAAAACAAGGCTCCAAGAATTGACAGTATACAAATGGAAACATTTCAATAAACTGATGGCCTCCATCTATGCCAGGAAATTTGGAAGACAATTACCTTGCCAACAGATTGGAAGAGATCCATATTTGTGCCCATTCCAAAGAAAGGTGAAGTAATTGAACAATATCATTAATATCACATGCAAGTAAAATTTTTCTAAAGATAATTTAGAAATAATAGCAATAGTACATCCACAGAGAACTGCCAGAAATTCAAGAGGAATTCAGAGGAAGAATGTGCAACGAGGGATATCATTGTTGATGTCAGATGGAGCTTTGCTGAAAGCAGAGACTATCAGAAAGATGTTTACTTATGGATTATTAACTATGCAAAGGTTTGTTTGTTTTTTTAACCGTGTGGACCATGATAAACTATGGATAACATTGTGAAGAATGGGTATTCCAGAACATTTAATTATGCTCCTGAGGAACCTGTACATAGACTAAGAGGCAGTTGTTACAAGAAAGCAAGAGCATACTGAATGGTTTAAAGTTAGGAAAGTGTGTGCCAGGGGTGTATTCTTTTGCCATACTTATTCAATCTGTATGCTGAGCAAATAATCCCAGAAGCTGCATTATATTAAGAACGTGGCATCAGGATTGGAGAAGACTCACTGACAACCTGCGATATGCAGATGATACAACCTTGCTTACTGAAAGGGAAGAGGACTTAAAATACTGATGAAGATTAAAGATCACAGCCTTCAGTATGGATTGCACCTCAAGGTAAAGAAAACAAAAATCCTCACAACTGGACCAATAAAAAACATTCTTATCAATGGAGAAAAGACTGAAGTTGTCAAAGACTTCATTTTGCCTGGATTCACAATCAACCCTTATATAAGCAGCAGTCAAGTAATTAAATGATGTATGGCATTAGGCAAGTCTGTTGCACAAGACCTCTTTAAAGTGTTCAAGAGCAAAGATACCACTTTGAGAATTTAAGATCGCCTGACCCTAGTCATAGTATTTTCCATTGCCTCATATGCTTGTGAAAGTTGGACAATGAATAAGGACGATCATAGAAAAATTGATGCATTTGAATTAAGGTAGAGAAAAATATTGAAGGTACCACGGGCTGCCGAAAGAGCAAACCAATCTGTGTTGGAAGAAGTACAGCCAGAATGCTTCTTAGAAGCTAGGATTGTGAGACTTCGTCTTTCATACTTTGGACATGTTATCAGGAGGAACCAAGTCCCTGGAGAAGGACATTATGCTTGGTAAAGCGGTGGGTCAGAGAAAAAGAGGAAGACCCCAATGAGATGGATTGACACAGTGGCAACATCAGTGGACTCATGTGAGACAGCGATTGTGAGGCTGGTGCAGGACTGGGCAGTGTTTTGGTCTGTTCTGCGTACCGTCGCTATGATTCGGAACTGCGTCTATGGCACCTAACAACAACAACAACAACTTATTACCATAAATAAAATTCTTTTAGTAGAGTGCCTAGTTTGTGCTAAGCACTCAGTACACAGCAAAGGCTATAATTAATGATGGCTCAATCCACTCAACAGCAGAGGGTTTACAATAATAATGGATGGTGGTGGTAATAGTGTGCTGTCCATAGTGGCCCTGATACAGAGTTTCTAAGGCTGTAAATCTTTGCCGGAGCAGGAAGCCTCATCTGTCTCCAGCAGAGCGGTCTCGAACCACCGGCCTTGTTGGTAGCAGTCCAGAACTTTACTTGACGGAGCCACCGCTCCTGTAATAGTAGTAGTAGTAGTAATAATAATATTTAGTACATCATCAAAGTCTGCAACAAGAGGAGTTAACAAATGGTCTGTTATATAATAAATGTTAGCTGAATAAATGACTAGATGGATAGATACATACATGGCTGTTGGCAGCCCAGGATCTGGCCTATTCTGCATCACCACCCCGCCTCCAAGCCCTTCTTCTCTCTGTGCAGGATGCCGGGAAGGCCATGTAGACCTGGTTCTGCTCGTCGATGGCTCCAAGAGCGTGCGCCCGCAGAACTTCGAGCTGGTGAAAGCCTTCGTGAACCAGATCGTGGACTTCCTAGACGTGTCCCCCGAGGGCACTCGCGTGGGGCTGGTGCAGTTCTCGAGCCGCGTGCGCACCGAGTTTCCGCTGGGCCGCTATGGAACAGCAGCCGAGGTAAAGCAGGCGGTGCTAGCGGTGGAGTATATGGAGCGCGGTACTATGACCGGCATGGCGCTGCGCCACCTGGTGGAGCACAGCTTCTCGGAGGCGCAGGGCGCGCGGCCCCGTGCCCTCAATGTGCCTCGCGTTGGTCTGGTCTTCACCGACGGTCGCTCGCAGGACGACATCTCCGTGTGGGCGGCGCGCGCCAAGGAGGAAGGTGGGTTTAGCGTGGGATTAAGTGGGTTGGGGTTGGACGAACGTGGAGAGGCGGCTTCCTGAGTCCCCGGACCCTGTAGGCATCGTCATGTACGCTGTGGGTGTGGGCAAGGCAGTGGAGGAGGAGCTGCGAGAGATCGCCTCGGAACCACCTGAGTTGCACGTGTCCTACTCTCCGGACTTCAGCACCATGACGCACCTGCTGGAGAACCTCAAAGGCAGCATCTGCCCAGGTGAGTACATCTGTCTTGGGACCCCTCCCCCTCCACTCCTTGTTGTTATGTGTTATGTTGTTGTTATGTGGAGTCAGTTCTGACTCATAGCGACCCTGTACAGGGTTTCCGAGGCTGTAAATCTTTACGGGAGCAGAAAGCCTCGTCTTTCTCCCTAGGAACAGCTGGTAGTTTCCAACTACTAACCGTGAGATTAGCAGCCCGATTCGTGAACACTAGACTACCAGAGCTCCTTCCCCTCTATCCCTGCTCCACAACTTATACCTCCCTTTCCAATTCACTTCCCACTCGCTTCGAGGAGTTGTAGTTAGGAGATAGACTCTAGACAGTCTTGTTGTTACTCATAATATAGTCTGCTGATGAGTAGAATGGGCATCGCCTGTAGTTGTTAGAACTGCAGCATCCCTGTTGGCCTCCAAAACAAACCAAACTCACTGCCACGGAGTAGAGTCTCCACTCATAGCAATCCTACAGGACAGAGTAGAACCATTCCATAGGCTCTCCAAGACTGTCAGTATTTACAAAAGCAGACTGCCTCATCTTTTTTCTGTGGAGCAACTGGTGGCTGGTGGGTTTCAACCACCAACCATTCAGTTAGCTGCCCAATGCTTAATACATTGTGCCACTAGGGCACCTTCTCATGAGCTCCAGACTAAAGAAATCAGCATTTTACCCTTAGGTGATTCCTGTGCATATTAAAGATTATCTCCTAAGTAAGTGGGTGTTTGAGTTATTTGTGGAAAGTTTTTCTAGCCCATTATTTGTAAACAGAGAGAGTTCCATGTAAACAGCGTCATGTGTTAAAAAAATCAACTTTAAGGATTTGGCAAAGTGGCGAGATTGAGTGTGGTCCAAGTACAAAAGACGCATGAATCCACAAACACATGTATGTTTCGGACAATGTAGCTCCTCAATTCAATCTATCTCCTTCATCTGGTATAGCTAAGAGTATAGGAGAATCTATCTGTGTAGAACTAGGCTGTTGAGTTGTGTGATGTTTACTTGACAGGTGACAGAGAGTGTTTCTCAAGAGTAACTTTTTACCATAAGAGTCTGTAATTGTAACCCAGGGTTTAAGATGTGATGCTTATATCAGGTTACTAGGCCCCATCTTCAGAGAGAAGTTCAGCAGGGCTGGGCTGTGCCTGAAGAATGTACACTTAGAAAAACAAAAATGGTAATTCTAGTAATTAATCCGGGTGTTGTTGGAGGTACTAGATTAGTAGCTCTTTCGGGGGCCCCTTTGCCCCTCACAGCATGATCTTGGACTCTTGTCATTTAACTTCTATCCCTACCTTAGCTTTCATCTTCTCTAATGGGAGGATGCTGGTTGCTTAAGATTGCCTCCAGCTCTTGAATTCTACCAGCAGTGTGGGCTCTGTGGTTGACTTTTCCCCAACTGGCTGTTGAACCTTTGACAGTTAGTTCTTCCCCAGATCTGGTCTTTGGTTTCCTCATCTATAAAACTAGGGATCATTGCAGGACTGTTATCAAAGCTATTGTCCTCAGCTGTACATAGAACAGTTTGCTAACGGTACATACAGGACTTAGAAATAGATTTGAAATCATAATAGCAACTCTATGCAGGCTAATTCCCAGGCCTTCTTCACCATTTGAAATTGTAAGGCATTATTCTGATTTCAGGGTGTTGGAATGGTGGTGGTGGGAGGAGATTGGATCGTGGATCTTGTGCATTAGTGTGCATCAGAGTCACCGGAGTGTTTGTTGAACAGAACTCCAACCTCAGTAGGGCTGGAGGTAATTTACATCTCTAGTAAATTCCCAAATGATGCTGATGCTGCTGGTCTGGGGACCACACTCTGAGAATCACTGGAAGAGTTGAAATGCACTCTCTAGTGTTTACTTGTGCCAGCCACTGCTCTAGATCTGCACTGTTTAATAGTTGCATGGAGCTATTTACATTTAAGTTAATTAAAAATTTGGTTCTTCACTTGCACTAGCCACATTTCAAGTGGCTATCCCATTGAACTTTGCAGACACAGAACATTCTCATCATTGCAGAAAGTTTCATTTGGAGAGTATGGCTCTGGATTTACACTACTCAAAATGTGGTTCATGCATCTCTCTGAAGCTTATTAGAAATGAACACTGTCTCTCCTTCCTTATTCTGGGTGGAAAATCTAGATCTTAAGAAGATTAATCGGTGAATCCAATGAACATTAAAGTTTGGGAAGCACTTCTAAGATGTGTATTTATACGTATACAGTGATGATGCATGGAGGGGATTGTAGTCATTGCAGTGAAACAAACTAGGATAGGATGAGTGCAAAACCGATGTTCTTCCATGTAAACTATCACTCAATTCACAATAAAGTCTTTTAAAACAAACTCACTGAATTCTCACAACAACCCAAAGAATATAGGTTGTTGTGGTTCGGTGCTTTGGATTCAACCTTGGACTCAGCTACCTCTTGTGACAAAGTAGAACTTCCCCTTAGGGCTTTCTAGGTTGGAATCTTTATAGGAGCAAATTGCCAGGTTTTTCTCCTGCGGAGCTGCCAAGTGGATCAAACTGCCATCTTTTATTCACTTTGCAGATGAGGAAATTGAGTTTTAAAAGGTTAAACGTGTTTTCCAGCATCTCACACCCACAGGTCTGTCTGAATTCAAAGTCCATACATTCAACCACAGGCGGGTGGGGGCGTACCACATAGCCTGGCCTGGCTTCGTTCTGCAAGTTTCCAATTCCCCTGACTCTCGATGTCCGTCTTGCAGAGGAGGGCATCGGTGCGGGGACAGAGCTGCGGAGCCCGTGCGAGTGCGAAAACCTCTTGGAGTTCCAGGGCCGTACGCTGGGGGCGCTGGACACCTTGACACAGAACAATATCCTTTGTGGCGGGGATTGGGGTGGGCTCGGGGGTTGGAGAATAAAGGGGCGGGGGCGCGGGCTGGAAGGAAGGTTAGGGACCCTGCGAACACCAACAGATTCCTTAATCGCGCACTGGCCCAGTTGACCGCGCGTCTGGAGGACCTGGAGAACCAGCTGACCACCCGGAAGTGAGTTACGGTGTCCCGGAGCCTGGTGGGGCGTGACTTTGCTGACTGTCCCCTAGCACGCCGTCGGGGCGCCCAGACGAGTCGTCTGGTCTGCGAACTTGGACTGGACTGCTAGCGGGCTCCCGGCGCTGCCTCTAGCAGGCCTTACCTGGACCACAAACTGAATAGCGAAGGAACGAGGGATTCGGCTGGGGGGGGGGGGGGCGGCGAGGGTAGGGGGCACGTTTAGTACGTGTTAGATCCATAAGCTCTTGCCGCGGGCTGCATAAAGTTCTTGTTGAATTTTTTTTTCATTAAAAAAAAAAATCTGGTTTCCATGGGTGGGTTTGTGGGTCTTTCTGTGCCGCCATGGGGAGGGGAGGGCAGACGGTGCACGCTCTGGCGGCGCCAGGGTGGCGTCTTGGCGGAGAAAGGCGCTTTGTATGGGGGTCGGGCTGGGTGGGATTTTGTGTGTGTGTGTGTGTGTGTGTGTGTGTGTGTGTGTGTGTGTGTGTATGAGGGTGGAGCAGGGACGCAGCACTGATTCCCTCTCCTTGTTTATTCAGACTAGAACAGATGCCTCCTTATGCAGGTTGTGGAAAGGGAGGAGGATCAACAGGATCTCTTGGGGTCTGAGCAAGTCTGGGACCCTCTCACTGCCCCCCCCCCCCAGCAGATTTAACAGTTGGTTCTCTGGTCTTGCCTATCTCCTGGTGTCCCAACACCTGGTTCAAAAGCTGCTAGAAGTGGTGGTGGTGGTGGAGAATTGTGTTAGAAATGAACCCGGATGTCGGACCAAAAGGCACTGATATTACCTCGGCAAGGCAAAATTTACTTTTGCAGGAAAGTGCATGTGCAAAGCTGTACAGAAACAGGCCAGTAAGCACACCGAGGGGGCAGTCCACTCGGATTTTATCCTTGTTACATGTCTAAGGCTGTGTGGCTCACTCCGCTTGCTAGGGCTTTCACCGCAGTCTTTTTCCTTATCAATTGTCTAAGGCTGTGCATTCTTCTTACTTCATGAAGTAGCAAAAAGTAAGTAAAAGGTCATAAAGTCCCTACTCCAGGAAGTAGCAAAATGTCAAAGAAAGGTCACCTGAATACAATAAACAGGATTACAATCATTTTGAAGAAAAGACACCCATTCCCACAGTTGGCCAGGAGATGGATGGGCTGGGGTGGAGGGGATCAAAGGGTTGCTGAGTTTCATCTGGATTTTCTCTGTCTCCTGCATCAGACAGGAAAAGAAGGTATTATCTTCATGGCACTCAACACCCATTAGTCTTGAGCTTTATTCTAAGGGATTTACAGACATTCTCATCCTTACCACATGGTCCCAAATCACTGGGACTTGTGAGGTAGGAATCACTGCCTTTTTCATCATTTTTACATAATAGAGTTGTTAAGTGCCGTGAAGTCAAGTTGGTTCCAACTCAGCCACCCTGAATAGGATTTTCAAAGAGCACCTGGTGGGTTTGAACTGCTGGTTCTGTGGTTCGCAGTCCAGTGCTGATCCTACAGAGCTACAACCAGGATCTATAGAGAGGTAGCTGAATTAGGATATAGTATTAGTTTTCTATAACTGCTGTAAGGAGCTCTGGTGGCATAGTGGTTAAGTATTTCACTGCTAACCTAGAAGCTTGAACCCATCAGTCCATCCTAGGGAGAAAAGTGTGTCAGTCTGTTTCTGTAAAGATTGTTGTTGTTAAGTGCTGTGGAGTCGCTTCCAACCCATAGCGACCCTGTACAGGCTTTCTCCTGCGGAACAGCTGGTAGTTTCGAACTGCTGACCTTGCAGTTCGCAGCCTGACTCATAACCACTATGCTACCAGAGCTCCAGCAGCTTTAGAAAGCCCAGGGTGTAATTCTACTCTATCCTAAAGGGTCACATTGACTGGATGACAACAGGTTTGTTTTCTTATGATTGCCGCCAACAAAGTATTGCAGTTTGTGACTTAAAATAATACAACTTTATTATTGTATATTTCTGGAAATCAAAGGTCTCCAAAAGGGTGGCAGGGTTCTGTTCCTTCTGGAGGCTTTAGGGGAGGACATTACTTTGCCTTTTTCTTTGTGTAGTTGTTAAGTGTTACCGAGTTAGTGCCCCTGTATAGGGCTCCCAAGGACTAGCTGGTGAGTGAACCGCCAACCTTTTGGTTCACAGTCCAGTGCTGATCCTATTAGCGCCACACCAGGAGTCCATTGTCTAGTTGTTGTTGTTGTTGTTAAGTGCCATTGAATTGGTTCCGACCCAGGGAGGCGCTGGTGAGTTTGAACTGGCAACTTTGTGGTTCAAATTGACTTTGCAGCGCCATACCAGGACTCCCCATTGTCTAGAAGTGACCTTAATTCCTTGACTCATGGACCCAAATCACTGGGACCTTCTCATTCATTGTCGTATCTCCTTTGACTCTGGTCCTACTGTCTTCTACTTACAAGGACGCTATTATTAGACTGACCCTAGATAATCCAGGATAATCTCCCCATTTCAAGAGCCTTCACTTAATCACACCATTGAAGTCCTTTTGGTTGTGTAAGGTAACATATCCCAGAACATGGACATCTTTGGGGGTGGGGGACAGTATTCTGCCTACCACACAGGGTTTGAAGCTACACACTTTTGTGTAGTGTATCTTAAGGAAGGAGAAACACTTGGCTGTGTAGAGCTCCAGAGCTTGGGTAACTCACATTGGAGGGGTGAGGGGTAGCTGACTATATCTGTAGCATAAAGGAGGAGCTTTAGACAAGAGGATGGAGCAGAGGGTCTCAGCCACCCTTTAGAGGGTTTCCGAGGAGCAGCTGGTAGGTTTGAACCATCAATCTCACCATTAGCAGTGTTTATTCTACAGCACCACACCAGGAGGGCTAGTAAACAGGGAGAAGTGTGTGTGTGGGGAGGGTAGGTGGTCTTTGAGCCAAGTCTTAAACCCCATCACTGCCATCAAGTTGATTTTGAATCATAGCAGGACTGAGTGAAACTGTTCCATAGGATTTCTGAGGCTGTAAATCTTTATTGAAGCCGACTGCTCACTGCGCTTCATAGGAGCCCAGTGCTTAACCTACTGTGCAACCAGGTAGCAACGGGATATTTTACACGTGAATGAAGCAGGAATGTGTGGGGGAAGGAGGTGAGGAGATCTTACTGGAACATGAGGATGAGTTGAAGAGCTACTCACAGCATCTACCATAAGTCCCTACATTTTACAGTGGTGGAAACTTGAGTCCTCAAGATCACACAGTGGGAGAACACAGGCACATCAGCCATGAGCCTGGGGAGGTTTGACTAGAGCGGCGCCCTCCACTGATGGGGGACATTGAGGGCACAGATGAGGCTCCTCCCTTCCCTCTCCAAGGCTCAGGTTACCATCTTTGTCCTCACTTTTTTGCATGTTTCATAGTAGTCAGTAGGTGGCGTTGGAACTCTGATTTGGAGCTGGGTCCTTGAAAGCCCTTTCTGGTCTTCCGGCATCTGGCGCTTGAACTGTGGAGCTAGGCATGTCCTCTCAGAAGACCTTCCTCTCCACTTCTTAGGGAGTCCTGGTAACATACTGAGTTATGCATTGGGCTGATAATCACAAGGTCAGCAGATCAAATCCACCATCTGCTCTGCCGGAGAAAGATGAAGCTTTCTGCTCCAGTAAAGATTTGCAGTCTCAGAAAGCCTACAGAGGGTCACTCTGAGTCAGAGCCAACTTCATGACACACAACAGCAACTATACTCCTTACCCACCCCGCTACCCCTCTGGAATCTCCACCACCCTGGAGCCCCCACCACCACAGGATAGAAGCTTTTGGGCATTGGCCACACACTCTGGATTTGAACATCAGCTCTGCCCCTTACAAAGTGCTCTTTAACAGAGTAAAACACACATTAACCCATGAACAGAAAGAAACAACTCAAGAAACAGTGGGAGAAGAGTTTCAGGGCCAAGAAAGCTCCAGTCTAGAGAAGACATCTGGTCACAGAGCCTAGGACTAGATGCTGGGCCGGAGCCCCCAGGTACCCAGCATGAGGGGTGACAAAACACTGTGTGTGTGTGTGGTTCTATGGAAGTATCTGTGGGCGCAGAAGGAGGTAGTGCCCTTTGAGTAATTACTTGGAACACTACTAGGGGATTTCAAAAAGTTTGTGGAAAAATTCCATTATCTTTTAATTCTGCTTTCAGAGATGCCACAGAGCTGGACTGCTCTGTGGGTCAGCAGTTCAAAACCACCAGTTGCTTTGCAAGAGGAAAATGAGGCTGTCTGGAAACTCTATATAGGGTTGTTATGAGTCAGAATCCTGGTGTGCTGCTTAGGATAAGCACTGAACTGCTAACCTCAAAGTCAGGTGTTCAAACCCACCAACCACTCCTTGGAAACCCTATGCAGGGTCGCTATTAGTCAGAACTGACTTGATGGCACTTAACAACAACATGAGTCAGGACTTGATGACGGTGCATTTGGTTTTGGTTGGTCGGCCTTTCTATCTCCATACTTTACCTTCCATTCCTTCTGCGCCCCAGCCCTGTCTCCAAGGGCTTTTTGGACCCAAGGAAAAGAAGAGAAAGACTTTGGTGTTGCAGTGGTTAAGCACTTAGCTGCTTATAGAAAAGTCAGCAGTTTGAACCTATCAGCTACTCCACAGGAGAAGGATGCAGCAGTCTGCTTCCATAAAAACTGGGAACACTATGGGGCAGTTGTAATCTTTCCTGAAAGGTCACCGTGAGCGGCAATGGGCGGTGGATTGCATTGCCTTGTCTAATCCCACCACCCACAGAAGGAAAACTGAGACTCAAAGAGGTCAGTTGCCCAAGGCCACAGAGCTTGCCTGTTTTCAAATCTGATCCCAGAATTCCTGGGCGGTATAAACAGTTAACACACTTGTCTGCTACCCAGAAGCACCTCAAAGAAAAGGTCTGGCATTATACTTGCCCAAAATCAGCCATTGAAAAAACTATAGAGCAGTTTACTCTGACACACATGGAGTGGACAGGAGTTGGAATTTATTATATGGCAATTTTTAAAAATTGATAAATATCTGGG